CGATGTCGATATCCCATCAAATACTTGACGGCCACACAAGTGATGTCAATTGGGTTGACTTCACGGGCACTAAACTCCTGGTCAGCGCCAGCAATGATAAGAGCGTCCGATTGTGGGAATCCGATGACAACGGGGTCTTCAAACAGATCTCATTGTCACCATTGGTTGGACACCACTATGGCGTCAATTGTGTCCGATTCTCGCCATTTGGCACAATCATCGCCTCGGGCTCTACCGATGGCAACATTATCTTATGGAATACACACGTATAGCACATCCCATGTCCACAACCACCTGTTCAGCCACCGCTAACTTAATCACTCTTTCATCTGATCCATAGACCGGCGAACAAGTGGTGAAACTGAAACACGAAAGCGGGAGTGGAGTCAGAGTTTGCAGTTTCTCTCCCTCGTCATCGATGTTGGCCTCCGGAGGCGATGACGAGAGTCTTGTCATTTGGGACATCAGTACCCGATCTATGATTAGGTATAGTATTGAGACATTCAACTGAAGTGATTATAATAAGTGTAACCTTTAGATCACTGGCCGATCACGAGGCGATGATCACTGCCTGCACTTTTAGTCCCGACAGTTCATTCCTAATCTCTGGATCAAGTGCTGGTGATTTGAAGATGTGGGACGCGAAGTACGGACACGCAAAATGTTTGTTCACTACTCCCGAAGCCCACGATTTGGGTGTTTTAGGCTGTGATTTCAGCTCTCAATATGAAGTGAATGGTAACTAATTGTGCCCTCAATTCAATTCAATGAATGATAATTGAATTTGTTTGACAGTAACGGACGGTCCGCTCCAGAGTTTCTATCTGTTAGCCTCTTGTGGTAACGACGATCTCGTGAAGCTGTGGCACGTGAGGGGTGGTCTCAAGTCGTCTATAACTCTATCGCATACATTGAAAGGACACAACGGAAACGTCAATTGTTGTCGATTTTCCACCNAGAGTTTCTATCTGTTAGCCTCTTGTGGTAACGACGATCTCGTGAAGCTGTGGCACGTGAGGGGTGGTCTCAAGTCGTCTATAACTCTATCGCATACATTGAAAGGACACAACGGAAACGTCAATTGTTGTCGATTTTCCACCGACGGCTCACTTCTGGCCTCAGCGTAAGGCTAAGCCTTTAATATGTCTTAAGACTAATTGTGTGGTTTGTTTGTCAGCGCCGGCGATAAACTTGTGATCATATGGAACCCACAGAATGGCGCTCTCGTCCATAAACTCGAGGGTCACACCCGATATGTCACGAGTTGTGCCTTCTCTTCGGACACTAAATACTTGGCCACCGGTTCTAACGATAAGACTGTTATCATTTGGAATATGTCTGATATGAAGGACAGGGATGTTGTCATCACTAAGAATGGAAACGTGGAAACATCGGCGATGATAGCGTCCGGTAGTAATATTGTCTCCGAGTGGACACTCAATGATGTGATCGTATGGTTGGAAAGACTGGAATTAGGGAAATACAGTTCCGCCTTCAGAGACAACTCTATCGATGGCATAGAATTAATGCATTTGACAAACGATAGCCTTTTGACATCACTTAAGATCGGTATAGAATTGAGTTTAATATTTGTTGAATTAGAGTTTTGATGACCGCTTTTGGTTGCCATTTACGGACAGATTCTTTGGGCCACAGGAATAAAATTCTGAGAGGAATCCATGCGCTGAAGAACCCGTTGTGGCAACACATCAACGATGACGCCGAAGACACGACATCGATGCCCAACGAACTCTGTTGTCCCATCACTCATGAGCTGATGAAGGAACCGGTCGTCGCCGCAGGTATTCCTCTTATAGACAATTGTTTGCTATAGTATTGGCACTTAAACCCAATGTGATTGTCATAAACAGACGGCCACTCATACGAGAGGGAAGCGATCACTGAATGGATAAATAACGGCAACTCTACGAGTCCTATGACTAACGAAGTAATGATTAATGAATTACTTCTGCCGAACCTCAACCTCAAGGCTTTGATTCAGAAATATTTATCAAAATAGTAATCGGAAACCCATTCTGTGATATAGAAAACTCAAGTCATGAAAAAAATCGGTCCAAAAATCACTACTTATTTCAGTTATATTTTTAAAACAGATTTTTAATAATTTTGTTATAATTTTAGTTAAATTCTATGTCGACATCAAATCTATATATTCGAGCACTTATTGAATTAAATATCATTCAATTAATTGTAATTCAATCGGCATTTGATAATCAAGTTTATGTTTAATACTTTTACACTAATATTATAATCACAAATAAAAGCAAATTAATGTATTGAAAGTCCAATAAAAGTATATTATTTGCATTGATTTTCAAAGTATAATATATTAAATGTAATAAAATTTGTTAATTTTAATTAAATAAATGAATTGAAATAAATGAACAGTAAATTGAATTGAGAGCCAAATTGAGTGATGTATTGGCAATGATATAGACATAGGATTGCCATCTATTGGGAGAAGTGATGCGGGAAAGCATTGCATCAGAAAATGCCTTTCGTTTGCATTAAATGTTTGTTTATTAAAAGTGAAACTCAATTGAAATTAAGTTTGCATTCAATGTCTAAACACTGAAGACATCAAAACATTGTTTGCCATCACTTCCAGCACATCCCTCGCCGTCAAAACATGTCAGACAATGGTCTAAATCGTGCCGAATTGATCTCGGTGTTTATTAGGGCTGGCATTTTGGGCATTTGCTCGTACTTTGCGGTCAAATGGATGGTCAATACATTAGATCCGACCCGAAAACAGAAACGAGAGGCACAGCAACGGGTATTATCATTGAATGCATACCACCATTGAGTACACGCTCTCACGTGTGTTGTGTCTGCCATTTGTTTTGTCCCAAAGGCTGAGCGACTTCTGTCACGACTCGGTGTCACAGATCTGAAGACATCGCTCAACGAATACGAGCTGTCAATTGCCGCCCAATTGGTTGACCCGCAGTCGATAGAAGTGACGTGGAGTGACATCGCGGGTCTTCAGGACGTGATCGACGACATTAAGGCGACAGTAATACTGCCGATCCGTACGCCGGAGCTGTTCTCGCGGTCTGAGTTGCATCAGCCGCCCAAAGGAGTGCTACTTCACGGACCGCCCGGTTGTGGCAAAACGATGATCGCGAAGGCGACGGCGAAGGAGGCGGGCGCCCGATTCATTAACCTGGAAGTGCCCGCACTCACCGACAAGTGGTACGGCGAGAGCCAGAAGTTGGCCGCAGCGGTGTTCACACTGGCGCTCAAACTCCAGCCGTGCATTATCTTCATCGACGAGATCGACTCGTTCTTGCGGTCGCGCGAGACCCACGACCACGAGGCCACTGCTATGATGAAGGCTCAGTTCATGATCCTCTGGGACGGACTCATCTCCGCCAAACACTGTCAGGTGATAGTCATGGGCGCCACGAATCGACCCCAAGACGTGGACAAAGCCATTCTCCGCCGAATGCCCGCAATGTTTCAAATACTATTGCCCAACAAAATGAAGAGACGGGCGATCATCGATCTGGTCCTCGAACGCGAAGAGCTCAACGAAAACGTCAATTTAGACACCATTTCGGACATTACGGACGGCTTCTCCGGAAGCGATCTGAAAGAGTTGTGCAGAAGTTCCGCTATGTATAGAGTGAAAGAGTTTTCCACTCATTTACTCAACTCTTTGCCGGATATGGTTTGCGGCGACGATCGCGAGGTCTTCATGTCTGCCGACTCTATATCAAGCCTTCGCTCCATAAATATGAATGACTTTCTGTCAGCCGTTCAGAGGATGAAGGAAAGCAAAGTTATGTTACTTTCGGGGCATTCGGTTATAGGACTCGATTAAGCTTTTGTTTATGATTTTTCTTAGTCTTTATAATTAATTGATCCATAAGTCAGTCATCAATAGGATTGTAAACAATCTAACAATGTCTCTATATTCGCACCCATTTTTACAATCATTTCTTTGCAAACAATTTATCTAATATTTCAAATATAAATGTTTTTATTTATTTTATGTTAATTACAATTAAAAGTTTAATCACTCGATCGACACTGAAATCACTGTATATCTAATGAATGAGTTTTTTTTGGCAATTAATGGGTTTTGGACTCGAGGTTGAGGTGGCCTCACATACATGTATATTAGTGTTTGTTATGCATAGCAAACTCATTATAAGCCAATCAATGTAACACTTATATGACGTTTGAATAAAAATGCTATCAATAGTGAGAATTGAATTAAATATTGAATTCATTTGTAAATTCATAAAGTATTAAAAAACTTAAAACTTTTCATTTAAAACCACAGCCGGAGAGCTATTAGTAGTGTTTGAGTGATTCATTTGTCCCATTGTTTGTGTTCACAGCCATCGGGAGGCTTGACGTCAACCTTCCCTTTCCCGACGTCCGACCAATTGGTGCTCAAAACAGTTCCGCCGCTCTCTTGAAAGCTCTTATTCATGGCTTTTCTCACTTCTTCGGATCCGTTGGCGTAGATCTGTTTGAAGAGGTCGTCGACACTCCCGCCGTCTTTCTTGGCCTCCTCTTCCTCCTCCTTCTCGAACTCCTTCACGATTTGATCCCAATTCTTGGCCTTTGGCTTAGGCTTGGATTCGGAGCCACTATTGTCTTCATTCGCGGCCATCTCTTCGTTGGGATGTCTTGTCTTCAATGTGTGGCAAATGTTAACACAAATTATCAAAACAATTCATAAACACATAAATAATGACTTTATTTGCTGTCACTTGTGTTGAAAGCGATGCCAAACGTAACGCCCATTAGTTTGCACTGAAATGCACTCAACTTTTAATACAAATACAGTTTTAATTGAATTCAATTCAAAGTGTGTTTAAAACGAGTTTAAAATAAATAAATTAAAATTCAATAAATATTTGTAAACAAAATGAGTGTCAGATTTGGGCCGTAATTGATGTGCAGTTGTAGTGAGGGTTCACTCAATCAGTGCTTCAATCACTCCCTAAAGTGAGGCTAAAATCCATTTTTGATTTTCCATTCAATTGTTTATTAAATGTGTTTATCATTCAAATGATTGACTCATTGTTTTGAGCGGACATTGAATTCAACGCACAATCGATTCAATCGATTAATATATGGTTTGCGGCAAAAGTGGTGCCAAAGACTGTGTGAAGACATCCATTGAAGTGACGTTTGAAACGACAAATCGGTTGACGTTTTGAGGGAAGGAAACGGCGAAGAAGTGGTGCAGAAGTGGTGACAAGTGTTGTCGTTATGACAGTCGACCATAACTTGGCTCAAGACATGCCGTCGGCGATGAGTGACTTGATATCACTGATCGAGAATGAGATCCCCGACGGAAGACAGAACCTGATTGACTCCAACTCCAACCTCGACAAAGTGGCCGACTATTGCGAAACCAATTACTTCCAGGTCTTCACCATTTCCTCCCATTACTGTCATGTCATGTGATGTCACGACAAGTGTTACTCAATATATGACCATTAATTTGGTACCACTTCTCGTGATTGACATATGATTTACGCTTAAATTCATGTATTAATTGTTTTTTGCCGTAATTTATAGTCGGATAATAAGCGCTCGGCATTAGAGGAGACGAAGAACTATACGACCCAATCGTTGGCATCGGTCGCCTATCAGGTGAACACTTTGGCCTATAATTTGCTTCATATGTTGGACTTACAGACGTCCCAAATGGCGGACATGGAGTCACAAATCAATCACATCTCGCAAACCGTTTCCATACACAAAGAAAAGGTCGCCCGAAGAGAGATCGGGATTCTGACCAACAATAAGAGTACTGTTCGACAGCACAAGATCTTAGTGCCGGCAAACCCGGAGCGACCGATCAAATACATACGAAAGCCCATCGACTACTCGGTGTTGGACGAGATCGGACACGGCGTCAAAATCAGTGCTCCGAACGCACACAGGACTAAGTCTCACACCTTGAAGAACGGCTCGGGAACGCTACTCATGCCCAGCGGCGGACCCGCGCCCACCACTAAACCGCCGACACCGCCACAGATGCGAAATGTGGGCAGTCTGTCGCGCGGCAACAAAGAGTATCGCACACCCGCGCCACCCATCGCCCCGCCACAGGTGCCCAGTAATTATGCCCCCAATTATCCGATCGGTCACCCGAAAGCTCTGGACAATAGACGCGGTTCGGGGTATTCGACGCTACCGTTAGGAATGGGACACTCGGGCGGTATTATATCCAATGTTATGCAACAAATGGGCGGACAGTCGACGCTTCAGTCACATTACGGACAATCGATGCACGGGTCGCAGGGGTTGCCGCAGTCGCAGCCCATAGGTATGGTGCACCCAATAACCCATCCGCAACACCATCACCATAACAGTGCTTCGGCTAACTTTGCAGTCCCGCCGTCACCGACGCCACCACCCCCTCCGCCCCCTCTCCATGAAATGCCAGTTCTCTCACCCATTAGTGATTCATTGCCAGACCCGCCGCCGATGCACTTACACCACAATCAACACAACGATCACTTCGAGAGGCACTCCAATGGTATGTTTAGTACTTATGATAATTACTCGATAGCTATTGTTAACACTACTTGTATGGCCACAGCCTCTCCACCACTTCCTCCGCCGCCACCCATGAACGAGGAGAGCCATCACATGAATCTCTATAATATGGAACAAATTGCTCACAACACGAGTGGTTCGTATAGGGATCGCAATCACGACTCCGAATGGGTTCCAAGTAATTATCTTGAAAAAGGTATCAACTCTTGTAGTGTTTGTTATTTCATTGAAGTATTTATTTATTTCTTGCATTCAGTGATCGCTATCTATGACTACAACGCCGACAAAGACGATGAGCTCTCATTCCAAGAGAATTCTGTCATTTATGTGATTCGTAAGAACGACGACGGATGGTATGAGGGAGTCATGGATGGCATTACCGGCCTCTTCCCCGGCAATTATGTTGAGCCATGCATTTAAATTGCTCTCTCTCTCTCTCTCTCCCTCTCTCTCTCTCCCTCTCTCTCTTCCTCTCCCTCTCCTCTCACTTCTCTCCTCCCTTTAGCTCTCTTTCAGTAATATTTCAGTTATATTTTATTAAACTTATTATCGATTTTTAGGTTTGAGTTAATCTTATTATGTTTTATTAATTTCTCTTTAAAATAGCAAACTTTCGTATATTTTAACTTTAATTATATTTTATATAAAATTTCTGTAAATTATTTCTTAAGTAATAAATCTGTAATAATAATAACGATAATAATTTTAGGCCAAATACCGTTATAAATATGTAATCTTTTGAATTATGTATTTATATTTATTTGTTATTTATATTTATTTCTTACATTTAAATAAAAATATGTTTTAACAATACTCTTGTATAAATTATACATATATTTTAATTATTAAAAATTATCCCAAAAATTTCAATAATTATAGTAAAAAATGTAGTGAAATAATCACTATTTTAATCATATCTAGAGTTTTATCATTTGAGCTAAATATGTCTAATACATGGAAACATCGAAATGTTTGTGTTTTGCTTTCAATGAAATTGAGTTAAATTGAAATCAATTAAAATATTATATTTTGGTCTCAAATGAGTTGTATTAATGGCTTAATGAGAGGACGACGTAATCGAAATAGTTTTCACTTCATTACTAGAGTTAAGCATTTCTTTCCTCATTATTTTGATTATCGCCGATAAAACTCTCGTAGAATTGCTTACAATTAATGCGGTTTTCAAACATAGAGTAGAGCACAGGATATGCGATACAACAACAACAGTAATTACAGTATGAAAATCAGTAGATATCAGAGCTGTCTCTTTCCCTATTACTTCATATTCTGTAAAATAATTATAATTAATTGTTGTAAAGCTAAATAAGGAACAACATTTACCGTCATCTAAATGTTTACCTATTTATGATTGAAGGGAGTGAGTAGGCGTTGATTTATCAATTGATACTATATGGTTATTTTTGATCATTTAATATTTGTAGTGAAAGTAGGATTTATTTTCAAGGCATATAGGATTGCGGGAACTATTATATTACAACAATTTTTTTATTAAACAATTATATTATGTGGATAATCGCTGTGTTTACAGGATATTTTTAGAAATCTACCAACATGCACAGTATAATATTATATATGATATTCAATATGACCGTAAGTTTCCACATGATCATTTTAATTCTTGTTTTATTGTTAAGAATATCCAATTCTTTGATTTAAAAGAAGGAAAATGACTGACATTTATATCACTAAAAGTCATCAACAATTGGATACAAGACGTGAGCATTTTTAGGCGCAGATTATTTATTCATAAAATAATTCATTTCGTTAATAAGTACATATCGGATGAAATATATTTCATACGTGAATTATTTAGTTATTCTAGCGATTGCTATAATACAACACTTGAAGGCATTTATGTTTTAATTATTTATTTCGATAACATTACCATATTATATGGTCCAATATATAAATTATATAATATAATACACTCTTTTTGAATAATGTATTAAAGTTTGTTAATTTCTTAATTATTACTATTAATTTTATTTAACTTTTGCAATCATAATATGTAATTAATTTTTGTATAGTTAATTTCAGGTACTTTTATACGATTTTATTAAACAACTAACCCTTTATCCAACAATCGTCTATTAGTTTAATTATAATTAAGTTCCTATTCTTATGTGTAATAGTTACAACTAATAATTGTATTTCTAGTAATTTTACCCAATTGTTTACATAAGTGTTAACTAACTTGTATTGAATTAAAGATTTTATCCTAAAATAAGATGAATATAAAGTATATAAAGTATTGAAGTAATTTCTTTGCAAAAGTTACAGAAATTCTTGTCCAATGCAACATGCATTAATATATCTCATTAATATATTATTAATATAATATGAACAACATGGTATAGTAACTAATCTAAGTACACTATACACCGTGTGTAATATATTTAGTATCATTTTGTCCCATAAATACCATTATAATTTTGCTCAAAATATAGAAGTAATTTTTTTAAATGTCAAAAATTTAGAGATAATTTCATTAAAACAAATTATAGATTGTGTAATCATAAAATAGAATCTAACCATGTTCTAAAACAGTAAAGTATAATAAATTTCAGAGCTATTTAGGTTAACTTTAAATTAAAACTCTAACTTTTGAAAACAAATAATACTTAGTAGGAATCCATTTGAACGCGTCTCAATTAATCCCGACGGGAGTGATGTGGTGATGACCAGAACAATGAGGAGACTTCAAAACTTGTTTCAAAACATGCGAATGGCCATAAACACCGGAGTTATGGACATATCTGTAACCGCAGGCATAGCGCTCAATGCATTACAATTCTGATGAATTGCATTACTCATGTAAAAAGCAAGTTTTCAATGCATTGAGCCCTATGCCTGCGGTTACAGATATGTCCATAACTCTGGTGCTTGTGGCCATTCGCATGTTTTGAAGTACGCATACAGGTCTCCTCATTGTTCTGGTCATCACCACATCACTCCCGTCGGGATTAATTGAGACGCGTTCAAATGGATTCCTACTTAATTAATTACACACACACACACACACACTGTGTCACACCGTGTAGTTTAAGCAAATATATTCATAAATTTATAATAATATCTCAATCTTTTAAGTAATTCATATACAGAAACAAAACTCAATGTTTAATATTTTCTACAGTACTTGTAATTAGAAATTATTAATGTATTTATTGGCTATAATTTATAACAAAGTTATAAGTATTGTTGTGAGCAAATCATTAGTTGAATGGCTAGTTATCAGTGAAACAAATTCTCAAAACTAATAAATAGTTTTATGAGACTCTCATAACAGCTCCGGATTTACTTACTTTTTCTG